ACACACACACACACACACACACACACACACACACACACACACACACACACACACACACACACACACACACACGGGCGCACCTGTCACGACGAAGCCTGAGATCGCGGACCTCCGACTTGAGAGACAGCTCGACTGCAACCTCCTCTGTGTGGTCGTCCCAAATAATCACTGTGAAGCATGCCAAGCCCGTAAGCAGCCGTGCTGGGACATCTACCCCAGAGCAATGAAACGCACGCGCTTCATGCACACGCACATACACATACATATGCACACACATACTCGCTCACCCACTCAAACACGCACCCCAATACTCACTCACACACATGTACACACTTGCACGCATTTGCGCACATGCACACACACAGAGCTCCCCCAAGTGTACAGGGGTGAACAGCACACCTTTGTTTGTGGGGTGGAGCGGGGATCGCCCACCGGCAACCAGGCCAACGTAGTTGCAGCGGAACAGCAGTTGCACCCGCGACAACGTGTTGCTCCCAAGCGGCCGCCGCGCCCGAAGCATGAGAGGATCGCTGCTGTACACGCGATACTCGCACGCTTGCTGATCCTCTGCGACAACAGCAAAGCAACCTGAAATTGCAGCAACACCACGCATGGGCCAAGCACGCGCCCATCGTGTCAACGGCGACAGCAGTCCACAAATCTCAGCACGCATGCCTTCTCGACGGCACTGGCGACCACCGAGTCCACCAAAGCCTCTGCCCCCACTCCCACCACCACCACCGTGTCTATCATAACGTACTGTTGTCCTGGTTCCATCCGGCCCACACAACGCGCATCTTGGTTGGTGGCCTCAGATATGTGTGGAGTCCCAGGCAGGAGCGAGGGGTTGGTTCCTTCAAACACAAACACGCGGTCACACAAAAGGGAGCAGGTGAGTTGAAGAGCGTCAGGCTAGCGACCAAGACGTCGGGTGACAAATGATGTGATTGTGGGCACACACATACATCAATGAGTGAATCAACCACACAGCGCACGCCTCACACACAACAGCGTCGTCCACCTTTGCTTCTCCACCCTCAAAAGCCGCAACGCGGCAAGCGAACAAACCTGCTCTGTGCTGTGTGCTGTTTGCTGTCTGTTGTGGTTCGTGTTGGGCCTTGTTGTGTGTTGTCGCTTCAGCGCTCGGACGATCAATGTATCTTTGTGTGTCGTGTCGTGGCTGGGTTCAGCCCTCGTCATCACCGAAAATTAGCGAAGAATAACCTGCAAAGACGTAAACGAGGATACACTCGAACCTCAACACCTGACCCCCCACCACACCTCGCTGTTGCCGTTATTTGACATGACGAGAGGCTTGCGTCCCCACCCACATCCCCCATTCCTCCCCTGCCTCTTCAATCACTCGCAACACACACACACACACACACACAAGCACAACAAGCAAACAACATGAGCAGCGCACCACAATCGCTGGTGTCGCTTTCGCACACGTCTTCTTCATCACGTCCTCGGCTTCGCTTCCTCTTGATCTTACTCTTCTCCGCTCTGCTTGGCTTTGCAACATTCACGCATGGCGCAGCTGGTATGAATGTGTGTTGTGTCTGTGTGTCTGTGTCTGTGTCTGTGTGTGTCTGTGTCTGTGTGTGCCTGTGTGTGGGGGGGGGCTTATATGTTTGTTTGTTTGTTTGTTTTGTGTGCGGCTGATTGTCGCAATGTCGTTTCGTGTGTTGTTCATGTTGGAGTGAACCCGCGGTGCATGATAGAAGAACTTCGTGGTTTATTTGTGGGCGCGTCACCGCACTCACACATGCTCACACGCTCTCACGCACGCTCACACGCTCACGCACACATACGATGTAACGCAATGCGTGCCTCTTCTATCGCGTTGCCGGTTTGATCGCCTGCACACATACACAGAGACCACAACAGGCTCAACCATTCAGCCAATCATCACCTTCCCACAGACGACGACACAACAGGAATGCATCCCCGCCCCTCAATACCTGATTGGTACGGCACAACAGACCTTCCGAACTGTTGTTGTTTTGGTTCGCCTTGATGGTGGCAAGCCTCGCCACATACACGCACGCTCACACATCTACACTCACACACATCTACACTCATCCACACTCACACGCGCGCACTTTCTCCCTCCCTCGCTGTGTGATCTGGCACGCACAAAACGCCTTGAAGATGTGGCCACCTGCAAGCAAATGTGCTCTGGATCCTACCAGAACGACGAAAGGACAATCTGCTGGGCCGGCTGTGATTGGTACAACGACGGCGGTGACGAGTACTGCAAATGTGCGTGCTCCCAAGGCGTTCCCCGCTCGGACCTGCAAAACCCCTGCGTCACAGGGTGTGGGTTTGCCGATGACACGAGCAAGGTGCTCCTCTGCCCAGCTAACGAGTTTGCACAAGTCGAAAACGACGGCTCCCAGTCGTGCACGCCCGTCACAGCTTGCAGCACAGCGACCGAGTACCAAGTCGTTGCTCCAACTGCGTCGTCAGACAGACAGTGCGCCGTCTTGTCCACGTGCAGCCCGAGCCAGTACGAAGTCACGGCCGCCACGGCCACTTCCGACCGTGAATGTCAAGATGTGAGCGTCTGCGACCGCCGAACCGAGTTTGAACAACAACCACCAACAACAACTTCGGACAGAGAGTGCGCAACCATCACCATCTGCGAAGCAGCTACGCAATATGAGACCAAGGCACCAACGTCAACCAGCGATCGCGAGTGTGCGCCGGTGACGATCTGCACGCGTGGAACGGAGTTTGAAGTAACACCGCCAACTGCAACGACGGATCGAGTGTGCCAGCTGATCACGCAGTGTGACCCCCAAAGCGAATACCAGACGGTCAGCCCCACGTTCAACTCGGACCGGGAGTGCGCAGCCCTTACGACCTGTTCTGTCGACACGGAATACGAGTCAACCCCTCCAACCGCAACGACAGACCGCACGTGCTCAAACCTGACCGTGTGCGGCGCATCCCAGTTTGAGGCGCAGGCGGCAACAGCGACATCAGACAGGACCTGCCAAGACATCACCATCTGCCTCCGTGCAACCCAATACGAACAAGCCCCACCCACGACCACCTCCGACCGTGAATGCCAAGATGTGAGCGTCTGCGACCGCCGAACTGAGTTTGAGCAACACGCACCAACAGCAACTTCGGACAGAGAGTGTGCAACCATCACCACCTGCAACGCAAGAACGGAATATGAGACCAAGGCACCAACGTCGACCACAGACCGTGAATGCACTACGCTGACCCCGTGTGTGCGGGGCGAAGAGTACCAGAGCGTTGGGCCAACTGCAACAAGCGACCGTGAATGCACCCCAATCACGCACTGCCATGTGCTGGGCAAGTACCAGACCATTCCAGCCACATTCAGCACGGATGCAGTGTGCGCGAACCTCTCACGATGCGATGCAACAACCCAGTACGAGCTGGGAGCACCAACAGCAACGTCTGATCGAGTTTGTGATGACCTCGCTTCTTGTAACATTGATCAGTACGAGACGGCAGCACCAACAGCCACGTCTGACCGCACCTGTGCCAACGTCACAGTGTGTGATGCAGCAACAGAGTACGAGACGGCAGCACCAACAGCAACGTCTGACCGCACCTGTGCAAACGTCAACACTTGCAGCATCGAGCAATACGAGACGGCAGCACCAACAGCAACGTCTGACCGCACCTGTGCCAACGTCACAGCGTGTGATGCAGCAACACAGTACGAGACGGCAGCACCAACAGCAACGTCTGACCGCACCTGTGCCAACGTCACAGCGTGTGATGCAGCAGCAGAGTACGAGACGGCAGCACCAACAGCAACGTCTGACCGCACCTGTGCCAACGTCACAGTGTGTGATGCAGCAACACAGTACGAGACGGCAGCACCAACAGCAACGTCTGACCGCACCTGTGCCAACGTCACAGCGTGTGATGCAGCAGCAGAGTACGAGACGGTAGCACCAACAGCAACGTCTGACAGAGCGTGCGCCAACGTCACAGCGTGTGATACAGCTACAGAGTACGAGACGGTAGCACCAACAGCAACGTCTGACCGCACCTGCGCAAACGTCACAGCGTGTGATGCAGCTACAGAGTACGAGACGGTAGCACCAACAGCAACGTCTGATCGCACCTGTGCCAACGTCACAGCGTGTGATGCAGCTACAGAGTACGAGACGGCAGCACCAACAGCAACGTCTGACCGCACGTGCGCCAACGTCACAGCGTGTGATACAGCAACACAGTACGAGATAGCAGCACCAACAGCCACGTCTGATCGCACCTGTTCCAACGTCAACACTTGCAGCATCGAGCAATACGAGACGGCAGCACCAACAGCAACGTCTGACAGAGAGTGCGCCAATCTCACTGTGTGCGATCCAGCCACGCAGTTCCAAGCGACTGCACCAACCTCCGTCTCCGATCGACAATGCGCAAATATCACTGCATGTGGCGCTGCAACACAGTACGAGACTGCAGCAGCTACGCCAACATCCGATCGCACCTGTGCACGCTTGCTCCTGTGCGGCCCATCACAGTACGAGGTGCGTGCGCCAACACCAACGACAGACCGCGTGTGCCAAACCGCCAACTTCACGTCCGTCGTCCACGCCACCGTAACTACGCAAACAGTAGCCTCAGGGCTGGCGCCTGCTGCCGCCCGCGTGCCTTTCTCTCAACCCGCCCTGCTCCCTGTCAGCGTTGCCGGCACAGGGCGCGCAGAGGTGGCTCTGCCCAACACAGACGTGGCCGCGTCGGCGACATACAGCCTTGCCGCCGTCGCTGCACTCAACATCACAGACGCCATCACAGCAACAGCAGACGTGTACCACGACAGCAGCAGCGTTGTAATTCACGCGCGTGTTGCAGACGCCCTGGGTGACACCACCAACATCCTCCCCGGTACGCTCACCGCCGAGGTGGTGGCGGATGCACAGCTGACGACTGCCCTGACCACCGTTGGCAGCACAGCACCCCACACCCTCACCTGCACCTGCGCCGTGCGGTCACAGACACACGGGCTGTGCCAGGCAACATGCAGCGTGCCTCAGGACTGGTTCACAGCACTGGCAGTCGGCACCACTGCGTCTGCCTCCATCGCTGTCCAGGCAAGCAGCACGGGCAGCGCAAGGGCATCCCCACGCCGCACCATCGCCGCTGTCACCGTGCACGGCAGCAGCGCCGCTGTGACCCCGCCCACCAACGCCATTTTCCTGCGCCTGCCCGAGGCGCCTGTTGCGCCCGGCGACGCTGCGACTGTGCAGGTGGGCGCCCGCCTCTCCGCCTTCCCGCTCGGCGGCTTTGTGGTGAAGCTCGAGTGTGCAGACGCGGCCGGCAAGGCCACGTTTGGCGCCGTTGCCATTGACGACACCACCTGGAGCAGCTTCGCGGCCGGGGAGGGAACGTCGGCTGTCAGCATCGGCGCTGTGCTCGCTGAGGGAGCGGCGCAGGTGAGTGGCCAGGACGATGCAGCGGTCCTGTTCACAGTGGCACTGAACCTGGACGATGACGCCGCAACCACAGTCCAGACACTCCTCAACATCAACCTAACGGTGAGTGAGGTGCTCGACAACGCCAACAACATCCGCACCACCGCCACCCGCACGTATGCTGTGGACTTTACGGGTCTCGCCTCCTCCGTGCTCTCCTCTGCAGGCCCGGTCACCGGCGCTGTCCGCATCCGCCCTGTGCGTGCTGTCGGCGCTGTGTCGTTTGTAAGCACCACGCCCCGCATCCTCAACACAGCACCGCTCACGGGCGTCAGCGACGCCGCCGCATTCAGCATCGACACGCGCCTCGTATTGTCGGACGGCCAGCTGGTGTCTACAGCTACATCTGCACTTGCCGCTACAACAACGGTGCAGCAGTGTGCTGTTGCGTCTGGGCCGCCGACACTGGTGTCGCTGGAGCAGGACTGCAGCGGTGGCGTGGTCTCCACGCTGGACACGAGTGGCGGCACGGCTGTTCTGGAGATCAGTACCACCACCACGCTGGGCAGGGCTGCTGCTGCAGTGCTCACGCGCCGTGTGCTGGTGGAGGTGTGGAGCCCACGACTGCCGTTGATGGTGGCCACCGCGCCAAGCGTGCTTCGGCCCATTGCTGGGTGGCGTGAGCCTGCGGCCAACAGCGCCAACTCCTCCACATGTGATGCCCCGCGCTGGCAAACCCCGCATGTGCAGGTGACGGCGACATTTGCGTCCGGCGACCAAGAAGTGTCCGCTGTGGATGTCACCGGGCTTGTCGCTGCCGGCATCACCGCCAACGACACGACCGTGCTTGCCGCCGCTAATGAGGATGAAGTCGGTGTGGCAGCGCTGCGGCCTCTTCGGGCACTGCGGAGCGGCGCTGTGCGTGTTATGGTCGTGCGTGCTGGGGACGGCATTGGCTCAGGCACCGTACTGGGCGAGGCAGCTCAGGCGACTGTAGTCGTGGATCCGGCAACGACGCCTGATGCGTACATCGGATGGCAGGGCATTGATGCCGTGGCCGTGAGCAATGTGGACCTAAGGCCCGTAAGTGGTAGTGACCCAGCCGGGGCAGGCTGGCTCGACGCAGTTGTGTTTGAGGTGGCGGTGGCCACGCACGCGCTGCGGGCAGAGGGTGCGTCCACTGCGCTCCTTGCGAGTCTCGTGCTGGAGGATGGGTGGCGGGAGCCGCTGGTGCCGGCCCGCGACGTCCTCTTCACCAGCATGGCTGCAGACCAGATCACCATTGACGCGGGCAACAGAGCCACTGTTGCTGTCGGCGCGACGAGCGGGTCGCGGGAGCTGGTGGCGGCCCAGCTCACGTCCACGGCAGTCGACGCTGCAACGGGCAACAACGCCGCCTGCGTGCCTCGCGTGCGCGCAAACGTGACGCTCGACCTCGACCTGCCGGCCCCGACAGGCGTGCGGGTGAGCGGTGTTGTTTCTCGCATCACGCCCGCAGGTGACGCCGCTGCGCTGGCCGGCATTGCAACTGGCTTCAGCATTGGTGTGGCGGTTGCTTTTGAGGACGGCACGGAGCGGGATATGACGACAGATGGGCGTGTGACAGCAACGGTGGCCCCGTCTGCTGCTGGTGCTACTGTAGAGCGGGGAGCCAACGGCGCGCTTCGCGTGGAGGCCATTGCCGCAGCACCAAACTCGCCGTCCATATCGCTGGTGACAGTGGCTTTTGATGGCGGTAACGGACCCGCGTCCGTCGTCAACACCACGTTCCAGGTGCTGACAGTCAAATACACGGCCCTCCGCACAACGGCACGCCCCTTTCCAGCGTACGCGGGATCGCAGAGCGTCAGCGTGACTGAGCTTGCTCCCATCAACGGCACGGCTCCGCTTCAGTACCAGCGCGCACAGCTGGCGACAGCCATGATGCTGGACGATGGCAGTGAGCTTGCGCTTGATGCCGGTGACGTGGTGTATGCGGTGCGCCGTGCAGATGACGATGACAGTGCAGCACAACTGCTGCAGGGCGCAGTGGTGGAGCCATCAACGCCAGGAAACATCACCGTGCTCGCAACGGCATTTGGATCATTTGAAGAGAGCCCTCGCTTTGGCCTGAGCGTGGTCGACGATGCAGTGCACGTGGTTGCGCTCCGCTCCCTCAGCACCACCTCTGGTATCGCGTTGACTTCACAGCAGGGGCAGACTGCAGGCTTTGCTGTCTGTGCGGCGGAGCTTAGCGATGGCACGCAGCTGCCACAGCTGTACTCCAACGGCCGTGCCCAGTATCCGAGTCTCATTCAACTGTCGGTGTCTGACGCAGATGTGCTGCGCATCAACAGCACCACGGGGGAAGTTGTGCTGCTTGCCAACAGCCCAGGCGTGCTGCAGATTGTCGCACAGGTCACGTCGGCGCCCTCTGTTGTGACCACGACCGACGTGTCGTGCAACCTCCAGCCTGCGCTCGGCGACGTGGACGTCGGCCAGATGTCTGGTGTACCGGTCCCTGGCCCGCTGTCCATCGGCGACGAGCTGCAGGTGCAAGTGCGCGTCAACACAGGGAGCACGGACATTGGCTCGTTTACCATGGAGCTGCAGTATGATGCTTCTATTGTGTCGTTTGTTGGCGCTGATGCGACGTTTGGGGGAAGCCTGGAGGCCACGGACGATGGCCAGGGCTCGTTGCGTCTCGGTGGTGTTGTGTCTTCGAGCGGCGTTGGCGGGAGCGCTGCTGCCATTGCTCACGTTACGTTCCAGGCCGTCAGCGCTGGCGCGTTTGTGGTTGAGGGCGCGGTGACGGACTTGTTGGACCGCCAGCTTCCATCGCAACCGATTGTGGCGGGCCTGCCGTCTGCGGTTGTTGCTGGACGCGTGTGGATTTCGGTCACCGGTGCCGACGGTGGAGAGCAGCAGAGACGAAGGCGTTCGGGGGTGCGGCTGCCGGTACCACCACCCCAGTCCCTGGCGCAGCCACGGCGGCGGCGCAACGCAGACAGCGACCCGTTTGCAAGTGCAGCGGACGTGGACGGCGATGGGCGGTTCACAATTGGAGACGCGTTCTTCACGCTGCGGTATGTGGTGCTGGAGACGCAAGAGTTTGCCGGGGCGGACGGAGCGGCGGTGCAGGCCATTCTGGCCGAGGACCCCCGGCGACGCAGCGCACTCGACGCAGACCGGGACGGCACTGTGCGTCTGCGCGACAGCAGGCTGCAGAGCCAAGTAGCCACTGGCAAAGCGGTGTTCCTCGGCAGCATCCCAGGCGTGGACGTTGCCGTAAACCAAGACACGTCAGCATGTGGCGTTTCCGTGAGCGCAACTGTGTTTGAGCCTGGCCTTGGCGGAGCTGCTGCCTCCTCGACACGGGTGTTTGTGTTGGTTGATGGGCTTGCGCAAGACGGGGGCACAACCGCCACCCTGCTATCGCTGCCTGGCACTGGCACTGGCATTGATGTGGCACAGCTGTCACCGGCTCTGTCCGACGCTGTCGCTGTGTACGGCAGCGAGCCTGGGGCGCAGGCTGTGCTGCTCGAGGCTGTGCCATCAAATGCAAGTGCACCCGTGAGCGCTGTGTACACGGCTCTCTTGCCACCTGCTGTGGATACGCAGCTCATTGGCGTGTCGGTGTTTGCGGTTGTGTCACGTGGTGTGCGGACGTACGCAACGTTCTTCGGCAACCAGGCAACGACGGGTGCGCCTGTCGTGCCCTCAAGGCGCACCGAGACTGTGCGCGCATTTGCCAACGCAGACGTGGACGCCGCAGTCCTAGATACGGGGCTTGATTCTGGCTACAACCCCCTCACCACCGCAGCCCTCAACAACACGCGCGCGCAGCAGTATTGTATCCGACAATGCGTGGCCACGGGCGACGATGTCGTGTCTGCCTACTTTTACAACACGACCGCGTTCACGTGTGTTTCCACCAGCACATGCGACACGCTGAGTGAGTACGAAAGTGAGCCAGCAACGAGCACAAGCAACAGAGAATGTGAGCCGCTGAGAGCTTGTGACGCAGCAACAGAGTACGAGACGGCAGCACCAACAGCAACGTCTGATCGCACCTGTGCCAACGTCACAGCGTGTGATGCAGCTACAGAGTACGAGACGGCAGCACCAACAGCAACGTCTGATCGCACCTGTGCCAACGTCACAGCTTGTGACGCAGCAACAGAGTACGAGACGGCAGCACCAACAGCAACGTCTGATCGCACCTGTGCCAACGTCACAGCGTGTGATGCAGCTACAGAGTACGAGACGGAAGCACCAACAGCAACGTCTGACCGCACCTGTGCCAACGTCACAGCGTGTGACGCAGCAACAGAGTACGAGACGGCAGCACCAACAGCAACGTCTGATCGCACCTGTGCCAACGTCACAGCGTGTGATGCAGCTACAGAGTACGAGACGGAAGCACCAACAGCAACGTCTGACCGCACCTGTTCCAACGTCAACACTTGCAGCATCGAGCAATACGAGACGGCAGCACCAACAGCAACGTCTGACCGCACCTGTGCCAACGTCACGTCTTGTGCAGGTGACCAGTACGAGATAGCAGCACCAACAGCAACGTCTGACCGCACGTGCGCCAACGTCACAGCGTGTGATGCAGCAACAGAGTACGAGACGGCAGCACCAACAGCAACGTCTGACCGCACGTGCGCCAACGTCACAGCGTGTGATACAGCAACACAGTACGAGATAGCAGCACCAACAGCCACGTCTGATCGCACCTGTTCCAACGTCAACACTTGCAGCATCGAGCAATACGAGACGGCAGCACCAACAGCCACGTCTGACAGAGAGTGCGCCAATCTCACTGTGTGCGATCCAGTCACGCAGTTCCAAGCAACTGCACCAACAGCCACATCCGACAGGCTTTGCGCGAACTTGACTTCTAGTTCAACTCAGAGTCCAACAGCAGCTGCTGCTATTGCTTCTGTTCAAATTCCGGAAGCATCAAACCTTGGGCTAGCTGTGTCTGTGCTTGGCGCCCTTGTGTGTTGTTTTGGTTTGGTTCGGACGGTTCGTACACCAGTGTGGCCACTGTTTCTTTCACTCGCTCTGTGCCACGTGTACTTCGGCGTTGAGTCCGTTGCACTGTCCGACGACATTTCGTTTTCTCTTGTTGCGGACCGGTGCCTCGCCCTCGGCGCTTTCAAGCTTGCGCTTTCATTGAGTTGTCTCTGGTAAGATTGCTGATGGGATGATGTGTCCAGTTCACCTTGTGCCTGCATTTGATTCGCTATGTGTTACTCACTTTCTCCACTTGCTTCTTTCGCTAGCTGGCTTGGTGCATGCGTCCTTCAGTCGTCCACCGACATCAATCCTTTCACGTTGCGTCCTCTCGGGCTCTTTGCCATCGTCTGCGGTCAGTGCGCTCCTAGTGCAGCTTTGAGTGTTTGTTCCAAGCAGTGTAGAGCCTAGGTCCACGCGCCTGCTGTACTCACCAACATTACTTTGCTATCCGCCTACAGCCATTCCAATCACAACTGCTGTTGCCCTCGTCGCTGCCGCGCCGTCCTCATTTGGAGCGTCGACCGGCTGGTAAGTGTATTGGAGGTGTTGCACCACATGAAACGATCAACTGCGCGTGGGTGTGGGCCGTCGCTGTGCCAACTTTACTCACACCAGGTACGCCTTGCTCGCTTCGCTTTTGACAGGTGTGACCTCCATCAACCGCTAGCACGAGGCCTCGCTGGTATTCTGGCGTCCTGTACTCTGGGCTTTTCCCCGCTGATTTACGCGAGCATACGACGCATCCGTCACCGCCGCCAGTTCTTCATGGGCGACATTGTTGATGATTTGTTTGGGAACGAGTCTCGCATCCAGCGGCCGTTGCTGGCTGCTGCCATCCTCCTCGTTGTCGCCAACCGCGTCTCACTCAACCTTCCAGTGCATCTGAGTGTGGATGACGATATTCCAGAGCACATGCCAGTGGTGAACGTCATGTGTGCGGTTGCGTTGACGGCGGTGTCCCTGGTCTTCTTGTGCACGCGTCTTGGTCGATCAGATAACAACGGCAGCAACAAGGGCGGTCTTGCTGGATATGCTTCACCCAACAACAGTGGAGACCCATCCAAATTCGTTCATTTGAACACCATGCCTGCAGATGATGTTCCACGCAGCTTTGTCAGCCGCATTAGCAAACGAGGCGCGTTCTCGCCTTCAACACCCGCTCACCTACCAGGCAGCATCAGCAGGAGCATGCTGACTTCCTTCCGTTATCTTCCACGGTACGAAAATGACAGCAGTTCTGACGATGTGTCAGGCATGAGTATCTCGGACAAAGTGCACGAGGACGTCAGTGGCATTCACGAGGATACATCTTCCTCTTCGATTCTAAGAGGTTTGACGTCACTGGACATTAGCGATGGGGGGGAATCGATCGACTTGTTCCCAGTTGCAATCGATCGACAGGAGGTTGAGAACGCCGATGTGGAAAGTATTGAGGACAATGTTGTTGTGGTTTGAATGCTTTGCGGTGACGTTTTTGAAGATCACGAGTGTGTACTGGTGTGCTTTCTGAATTGTAACGTGCGCTGTGTTACCTTCTAATAAATATGACCTTGTTTTCAGTTGACTGACACGCATGACAGACATGCTACAACGAAATTTCTTCCAAATTCATAAAACCAAAGCAAGCAAAACCAATGCAGAACCGCTTGAATGTTGAATGTTACGAGGACAGCCAGTGTTCCTGCATTGACTCACTGTGTGTGATGGCACTCAATGATTTCTAAGATCCAGCATGTTGTAGACAGGGTAGAGTGCATCACATGGAATTCACTGCCATTCTGCTAAAACACGGTGTGTGTGTGTGTGTTTTACTGTAGGCAAACGCAACAAACAAGAACACAAGGAGAATGAACAAGCACAACAAGCTGCCGCCAAATCAACTCGGGCAGCATGCTCAAACAAACACAAGACTAGTGCACACACAGTCAATGGCGCTGCCAAGGCGACATGGGCAGCGTGTGCACGAACACAAACAATCTAAACAATGAGCAGCATGCATACATGCGCGCAGAGCAATGCTAGGCATGGCATGAATGCTTGCAGGCAAGCATACACAACAGACAACACTTCACAACACTGCATGGTACGCACACATAGCATTTGCCAAACATGGCGAGCATGCACACACACACACATGGCACACAACTCACGTGTGTAGGGGAAGGAGGAGAGGAGAGGCAGTTGGCACACATGCATGCCAGCAGAGTGGAAGGAATGTTTGCCAACGGAAAAACCACAAAGCAGGTGTTGTTGGCAAACAAGACAAAACCACATGAGAAGGCAAATTAGGAAGGACTCAACACAAAACAGAAACTCACTGACTCTCAACACTCAACACAAAACAGAAACTCACTCACTCTCAACAAACTTCCGCGGCCACTGCGCGCAGCAGTGCCGCAAGCTGCAGGCGGCCAAGCGCTACCACGTCATCGACGTGCGGCAGATCCTGGCTACGCTTCGCAACCACGGCAACGGCAACGGCAAGCGGCCAGGATCCTCTCGCCCGCAGCACGGACGAGCAGCTCCATTCAAGAAGGCGGCCGTCGTCAGCCACGGCCCTCAGCGCATGGAGACCTTCGCCATCCACCACGATGCCCTCATGCTGCAGCCCGAGGGCGAGGAGGAGGGCCACGCCATCGGACCAATGCCACCACAGCTGTGGCTCGCTGACAGCGGTGCCACGGCGCACATCACCAGCGACGCCTCCCTCCTCACCAACTACATCGCCGTCACGCAGCACGTCACCGTTGCCAACAGCCAGGCCGTCACGGTCATCGGCAAGGGCGACGCCGTGCTCCGCGTGACTGGCACCGACGGCGCTCCAGGCACCATCACGCTGAAGAACGTGCTGCATGTCCCCGACATCAAGTACAACCTTTGGCGCTGAACCCTGGTGACTCGCGCGCGTCGGGTGCTTCCGTCGTCATTGCTGCGGACGACGAGCCGCATCCCAGGTTGCCACATGGAGCGGGCTCTGCTGCCGTCTCAAGGACACGGGCCATCTCTCCTCTACGCCAGTGGCACTAACTTCCCAACAAGCCACGGCGCTTGCGGGGAGCTCGTGCACAGCAGCGATGGGGAAGCCGAGGATGCTGACGAGGGCGCCTCTGCACACGACGTGCTAGGCATCGCAGCAGCGCGGCCGTCGACGCCATCCGGCAGCAGATCGCCAGGCCTCTTCCAAGCACATCGTTACCTGTGGACCATGTTGCGCTTGGCAAGAGCACGCCGCGCCTCCATCCCGAAGCAGTCTGCTCCACGTAGCGCTGGGCCATGCCAGCTGCTCTACGCCGACATCGCCGGTCCGCTGGAGGAGACGTCGCTGCGAGGTGCACGCTACGCGCTGACCTTCATCGACGACTGCACGCGCTTTGCCTGGACGTTTCTCATCCGGCACAAGAACGAGGTCGGTGCGGCCCTGGAGCAACTGCGCAAGGACCGTCACGTCGTCAACGCCACGCTGCAGACGGATAGCGACGCCGTCTTCAAGAGCCAGGACTTCACCGACCTGTGCCTGGCCTTCGACATCAAGCAGCGCTTCTCGCCACCGCACTCGCAGGCCAAGAACGGATCCGCGGAGCGCACTTTCCGCACCCTCTTCGAGACGGCGCGTACGATGCTGTTTGCTGCGGACCTGGACAAGCCGTTCTGGGGCTTCGCCGTGCAGCACGCCACGCTGCTGCACAACATCGCGCCACGCAGGAGCCTCAAGGACAAGTCACCGTTCGAGGCCCTGACTGGGCACCCCTTTGACGTCAGCCTGTTGCGCGTCTTCGGCTCGCCGGCCTACGTGCATGTGGAGAAGAGCAGCACGCGGCACAAGCTTGACCCACGCTCACGCGTTGGCGTCTACGTCGGCTTCGCTGAGGAGGACCAGGCCCACGTCGTCTGGATGCCGGACACGCGACGCGTTGTCCACACCATCCACGCTCGCTTCGGCGCCATCAAGAACAAGGACGCCGTCTCCTCTCAGCAGCAGCAAGAGCAGAACAGCGGTGCCTCTGCTTCGCATGCCAACAAGACCGCTCAGCGTTCGACCGAGGACAGTGCCACCGGCGCTCCCCCTGCACCACGTGCGGGGGAGCCGCAGCTCCAGCCACGCGCCCTTGGCGGCTCCGTCTGGGACCAGCTGCTGTTGTCTGAGACCCTCGGCGACAAGGACACCTCTGGTGGCTCAACCACCACGTGTCACGTTGCCACCAGCGCTGCTGGTACGGGGGAGAAGACATCAGCAGTGGGTGGTCATCTACCAGACATCGCTGCTGGCAGTTTTGCCACGTCAGCTGAGCCAGCCACCGTCAAGGAGGCGCTTGCCTCGCCAGACTCTGAGGAGTGGCGCCAAGCCATCCTGGACGAGTTTGCGGCAATGCAGGCCAATGACGTCTACGACGTCGTGCCTCGCGCTGACCTTCCCAAGGGCCAGAAGGTGCTCCACAGCATGGTCATCTTTCGGAGGAAGCGCGATGACCAGGGCAAGGTAATCAAGTACAAGGCGCGCTGGGTTGCCAAAGGCTACTCCCAGGTCCACGGTGTCAACTACACGGACACCTTTGCTCCGACGGCTACCATCGCAGCCATCCGCACCATGCTCGCCATGGCCGTCGCGCGTGGCATGAACGTCCAGCAGATGGACGTCAACACGGCGTTCCTCAACGCGCCCGTGGATCACGAGATCTACGTCCAGCCACCGGCCGTCGACGGCATCTTCTCGCCGAATACGGTGCTGCGCCTCAAGCGTGGGCTGTATGGGCTGAAGCAGAGCCCGCGCCTGTGGAACCACACGCTGGACGCCTGGATGCGCGAGCAGGACTTCGTCGCTACAGCCACGGACGCCTGCATCTACCGCCGCACCTGCAAGGGTGGCAAAGTGATGTGGGTTGCCGTCTACGTGGACGACCTGCTCATCTTCGCCGACAGCGACAGCGACATGGCCGCCTTCAAGAAGGCCATCTCCAAGCGCTTCAAGATGAAGGACCTGGGCAGCCCAGACATATGTCTCGGCATCAAGGTGCAGCACAACCGCAAGGCCAGGACCGTCACCATGAGCCAGGAGCACTACCTGCGCAACGTGCTGGAGGCCTTCGGCATGGCTGACTGCAAGCCTGTCGGCACGCCGCTCTGCACGGGCTACGTCGACAAGCCAGCCGACAAGGAGGAGCCACTGCCGGATGTGCCGTTCCGCGAGCTGCTTGGCTCCCTCCTCTATGCTGCGACGATGACGCGCCCAGACATCTCGGCGGCTGTCTCCATCCTGTCTCGCCGCATGCAGCACTTCGGCATGGACCACTGGAAGGCTGCCAAGCACCTTCTTCGCTACATCAAGGGCACCTTGTCCTACACCATCAAGTACGCCGCCACTGGCGACACCAGCAACGGCAGCACTGCCGACGGCGTGCTCTCAGCGTACTCGGATGCGTCGTTCGCCTCCGACGTTGACACGCGACGTTCCCGCACGGGCTTCGTCGTCTTCTGTGTTGAGACACGACAGGTGGTGTGTGTGTGTTTACTGTAGGCAAACGCAACAAACAAGAACACAAGGAGAATGAACAAGCACAACAAGCTGCCGCCAAATCAACTCGGGCAGCACGCTCAAACAAACACTAGACAAGTGCACACACAGTCAATGACGCTGCCAAGGCGACATGGGCAGAGTGTGCACGAACACAAACAATCTAAACAGCGAACAGCATGCATACATGCGCGCAAAGCAATGCTAGGCATGGCATGAATGCTTGCAGGCAAGCATACACTTCACAACACTGCATGGCACGCACACATGGCATTTGCCAAGCATGACGGGCATGCACACACACATGGCACACATGACACACAACTCACGTGTGTAGGGGAAGGAGGAGAGGAGAGGCAGTTGGCACACATGCATGCCAGCAGAGAGGACGAATGTTTGCAACGGAAAAACCACAAGGC